TATTATTAGCTTTTCCTTCTTTTTGAGTCGAGACGAAGCTGCTGCCACGTTACTCGCTGCTGCCACAATCACCTGATCTGCTGGATGAATGTATATTTTCATACTGGTGGCACATGAACTGCATGCTGACCCTGACCTGTAAACTGGTGGGACAGCGTCCTCTGTCCGGGCTCCAGATGTGAGCGCTCTCTGCCAGCATGTCATTAGGTTTGGTAAAAAACAAGAGTTCAAGCAAATGCACATACATGTTAATATTATCATTGGATCCACACGACATGCTGATTAAAATGCTGTTCATGTGTTTGTGCTCCATGGAAACTGGTTTTAGCAGCGTGCTCAGACAAAAACACTGACAGCAGATCTGAACATCACCTCCACATCCAGGTTTGTCTACAGTCTTTGTGTTTCTCTGATGAGCATCAGTATTAACCTCCTGGACCTGCGTCCACATATGTGGACGTCACATTTTGGGTTATTTAGACCAAAATACTCAATTTTGCTCTACAAGGGCCTGATATCCACTTACGAGGACATTATGCTGCTACTCTTCTATCAAAATTTTACACAAATATCCTCATATGTGGCTCTGATTTTTCTTAAAAACAAAAATAAGGTAAAAAAATCTGGTAATTCTTTGTTTTTACATTCATCGGGCCCCAATCAGCCCAAATATCAAAGAGAAATGAAAAATGCTGCCGTGGAAGAGTTCGGGTCTGAGGAGGTTAAATATGGATTCTTATTAGCAGCTTCACTGCTTGTTGGCTTTAAAGCTTTTATAGCCTCAGTGCTCCTAAACCGAGTCGTTTGTACCTGCTGCTAAAGCTGGAATTCACTTTATTCTTTACATCAGAGCAGGTGTGGAACGCCAGGCCTCGAGCGCCGGTGTCCTGCAGGTTTTAGACGTGTCCTTGACCTGCATGGCTAAATGACCTGCATGTGTTGAGGTTCTCCAGAGGCCGGGTAACAAACTCATCATGATTCAGGTGAGATCTACAACCTGCAGGTGCCCACGCCTGATCCAGAGGCTGCAGCTGCAAGAATACAAACTACACCCTCGTTTAATCAGACACGGGACTATCATCCTGTGCCGTGTCCTGCTGATGGAGCTGTGATACTGAATCAACTTTATTGACAAAGAGGCTCTTTGGCTGTATCCCAATTCAGGGTCTGCAGCCTTAAAGGCCGCGTTTTAAGGC